GGCTTGGGCTTCCCAATATTTTTTTTGGAAAATTTTTTTTTTCTCGGTTGTTTGTTGGGCTATTCTTGAAACTTGGGCAGTGTAATGGAAAGATGTTTTAACGTAAACAAAATAAAAAGACGGACGATATTAAGGGGTTACTTCTCGCATAGCCCCCTTTTTGTAATTTTCAATGGTTTTTAGGTTTGTTTCTCTTTTTTTTTGCACATTTGATAGAAAGGAAGATTATTACAGAAAAGACGATTTTTATTGCTTTCATGGGAAAAGTATTGAAATTGAGCCAAGTAGCGGAAATGTTTGATTTTTTGTGATTAAAAAAACTAAATAAATTGGTTAATTTTATTAAGTGTATTCACCCAACCACTCTAAAAATCTCCCAAACCCCCACCACCCCCCCAAAATTTTTAACCCCCCCCCCCCCCCCCCTTTATATTTTTAAAAATGGAAAATAGATTTGAAAATACAAGGCAAAAGAGTTAAAAATAAAAGGTGGTGACCCCCACAATGTTTTAAAAAATTTGGCCAATTCAAATTACCAGTTTCCCCAAAAACTTCGAGAAACTCGTGCACAGGAGACTGTATTCATTTATAATGGCACAAAACATACTTAACCCCTGCCAATTTGGTTTCAGGAAAATTAAGAGCACTAATGATGCAATTGTAAAAATGCTATATCTGCTTTACACAGCACTGGAAAATAAGGAATATCCACTAGGAATTTTTACTGACCTAAGAAAAGCTTTTGACACAGTAGACCACAGCATTCTACTCCACAAACTTGACCATTATGGTATAAGAGGTAATGCGCTTGCATATTTCAAATCCTACCTTGCTAATAAATATCAGTATGTCACCATTAAAGACACAGCATCATCAACACGGCCACTTGATACTGGAGTTCCACAGGGAAGTGTCCTTGGACCCCTGCTCTTCCTCATTTACATCAATGATCTTCCAAACGTATCCCAACACCTGAAACCTGTTCTCTTTGCTGACGACATGACTTATGTCATCTCTCACCCTAATCTTGCCACCCTCAACACCACTGTTAATGAGGAGCTGCTCAAAATATCAACTTGGATGACAGCCAATAAAATTACACTTAACATAGACAAAACCTACTATATTATGTTTGGTAGCAGAGCAGGTGCTGCACAACTAAACATTAAGACTGACAGCACTCTAATTGTCAGACATAATGAGGGCAAATTCCTAGGCCTATACCTCAACAACAACCTGAATTTCAGCACCCATATCCAACACATATCAAAAAAAGTATCCAAAACAGTTGGGATCCTTTCCAAGATACGATACTACGTGCCGCAAAATGCCCTTCTCACACTATACCATTCACTCATTTATCCATACCTCACCTATGCTATTTGTACTTAGGGTTCAACTGCAGCAATACACCTAAAGCCAATAATAACTCAACAAAAAGCCGCAGTAAGAATAATCACTAAATCTCATCCTTGGCAACACACCACCCACTCTTCATAGATCTAAACTTACTCCCTGTTCAGAACATCGACACTTACTACTGTGCAATCTACATATACAGGACCTTAAATTCCAATATTAACCTTGACCTAAAATGCTTTCTTGATAGTTGTGACAGGACCCACAAGCATAACACCAGACACAAACATTGACTAAACCTTTACAAAAATTCAATGTATGTCAAAGGCCCTAAAATCTGGAACACCCTACCTGAAAACTCGAGAACTGCAGATACATTCATCACCTTCAAAACTACCATTAGAAAACATCTTATCTCCCTGATATACCCTGTCAACTAACTACATGAAAACTACCTGGTGGTTCACACTTACACTCACTCACTCACCCATTTGACTATAAGCACAGAAATACGTATCTTCATCTTAAAATAATGATTCCTAACTAGTCACAAGTTTGCCTTTGTTACTCCAATATAGAAACTATGTATTGTGCCAAAACAAAAGCATTCACATTGCTAAACTCACAAAATAGTATTTAGTCACTTAGTATTTAGTCAACTTACTCCACAATTTGTAATAATTTAGGGTTAAGAATTAATCTAAGTTTGCCCAAAATGCCTAGCCTTGCTAGGTGTTCTAGTGGCCCCCTCTGTAATTAGTATTTTATTACATGTAAACCACACAATAACCAAAATCTGTAAACCCCGCACTGTAATCCTTATAGAGAATAAACTTTGATTTGATTTGATTTGACCTTCATACTGTCTCACCAACACTAATAAATGATCTTACAAACCTTCACACTGCCTCACCAACACTAAGAACTGATCTTAACAACCTTTATACTGTCTCACCAACAATGTCTCACCAACACTAACAACATATCTTAACAACCTTCACACTGCCTCACCAACACTAAGAACTGATCTTAACAACCTTTATACTGTCTCACCAACACTAACAACTGATCTTAACCTTCATATTGACTCACCAACAATGTCTCACCAACATTAACAACTGATCTTAACAACCTTCACACTGCCTCACCAACACTAACAACTGATCTTAACAACCTTCATACTGACTCACCAACACTAACAACTGATCTTAACAACCTTCATACTGACTCACCAACAATGTCTCACCAACACTAACAACAGATCTTAACAACCTTCATACTGACTCACCAACAATGTCTCACCAACACTAACAACTGATCTTAACAACCTTCATACTGACTCACCAACAATGTCTCACCAACACTAACAACAGATCTTAACAACCTTCATACTGACTCACCAACACTAACAACTGATCTTAACAACCTTCATACTGACTCACCAACAATGTCTCACCAACACTAACAACAGATCTTAACCTTCATACTGTCTCACCAACAATGTCTCACCAACATACACCCAACATGCTCACCAACACTAACAAACAGATCTTAACTAACTTTCACTGTACTCAACCAACCTAACCACCTAACAGATCTTTAACAACTTCATACTGACTCACCAACAATGTCTCACAACACTAACAACAGTATCTTAACAACCTTCACTGTCTCACATAATGTCTCACTTCTCTACATCATATGTATCTCCAACATTCTGCAGTTCACGTAATGCTCCACTTCTCTGACATCACTATTAATGCTCCATTCCTGCTGACATCCTATGTATGTCATAATTCATGAGTCACTATGTAATGCTCCACTTCCTGCTGACAGTCACTATGTAATGCTCCACTTCCTGCTGACAGTCACTATGTAATGCTCCACTTCCTGCTGACAGTCACTATGTAATGCTCCACTTCCTGCTGACAGTCACTATGTAATGCTCCACTTCCTGCTGACAGTCACTATGTAATGCTCCACTTCCTGCTGACAGTCACTATGTAATGCTCCACTTCCTGCTGACAGTCACTATGTAATGCTCCACTTCCTGCTGACAGTCACTATGTAATGCTCCACTTCCTGCTGACAGTCACTATGTAATACTCCACTTCCTGCTGACAGTCACTATGTAATGCTCCACTTCCTGCTGACAGTCACTATGTAATGCTCCACTTCCTGCTGACAGTTACTATGTAATACTCCACTTCCTGCTGGACAGTCACTATGTAATGCTCCACTTCCTGCTGACAGTCACTATGTAATGCTCCACTTCCTGCTGACAGTCACTATGTAATGCTCCACTTCCTGCTGACAGTCACTATGTAATGCTCCACTTCCTGCTGACAGTCACTATGTAATACTCCACTTCCTGCTGACAGTCACTATGTAAATACTCCACTTCCTGCTGACAGTCACTATGTAATGCTCCACTTCCTGCTGACAGTCACTATGTAATACTCCACTTCCTGCTGACAGTCATTATGTAATACTCCACTTCCTGCTGGCAGTCACTATGTAATACTCCACTTCCTGCTGACAGTCACTATGTAATACTCCACTTCCTGCTGACAGTCACTATGTAATACTCCACTTCCTGCTGACAGTCACTATGTAATACTCCACTTCCTGCTGACAGTCACTATGTAATACTTCACTTCCTGCTGACAGTCACTATGTAATACTCCACTTCCTGCTGACAGTCACTATGTAATAATCCACTTCCTACTGACAGTCACTATGTAATACTTCACTTCCTGCTGACAGTCACTATGTAATACTCCACTTCCTGCTGACAGTCACTATGTAATACTCCACTTCCTGCTGACAGTCACTATGCAATACTCCACTTCTGCTGACAGTCACTATGTAATACTCCACTTTCTGCTGACAGTCACTATATAATACTTCACTTCCTGCTGACAGTCACTATGTAATACTCCACTTCCTGCTGACAGTCACTATGTAATACTCCACTTCCTGCTGACAGTCACTATGTAATACTCCACTTCCTGCTGACAGTCACTATATAATACTCCACTTCCTGCTGACAGTCACTATGTAATATTCACTCCACTTCCTGCTGACAGTCACTATTTAGTACTTCATTTCCTTCTGACAGTTACTATGCAATAGTCACTTTACTTTCCACTGACAGCCACTATGTAATACTCACTCCGCTTCCCACTGAGAGCCACTATGTAATACTCACTCCACTTCCCACTGAGAGTGGTGCAACTATATAATAGTTAGGTAAGACACATATGCAACAGTTAGGTATCTTTATTTTGAAACGTTTCGCCTACACAGTAGGCTTCTTCAGTCGAGTACAGAAAAGTTGATAGAAGCAGAAGATACTTGAAGACGATGTAATCAGTCCATCACCCATCACCCATCGTCTTCAAGTATCTTCTGCTTCTATCAACTTTTCTGTACTCGACTGAAGAAGCCTACTGTGTAGGCGAAACGTTTCAAAATAAAGATACCTAACTGTTGCATATGTGTCTTACCTAACAATCTGTCGGTATTTTATACCATTTCAATGTTCAACTATATAATACTCACTCCACTTCCCACTGAGAGCCACTATGTAATACTCACTCCACTTCCCACTGAGAGTGGTGCAACTATATAATACTCACTCCACTTCCTGCTGAGAGCCAGAGTGACAGCCACCAGGAACTGAAAGCTGTGGAGCCAACGTTAAGGATGAAGGTGAGGATGACCAGTGTTATAATGACATATCCACCAGCTGCCTTGATGTAGTACTGATATGTTGATGTTGCAATATCACCTTTATCCAGTCTTTCCTTAGTGGTCAGTTTACCTTCACCTAAACACAAAGTTCTCAGAATAGATTTAAAACAATATTGGAATAAATATATGTGACACATAATGACACATGACAATTGTACACTGTACACCATACAGTGGTACACTGTACACTTGTACACTGATACACTGTACACCATACAGTGGTACACTGTACACTTGTACACTGATACACTGTACACCATACAGTGGTACACTATACACTGTACACCATACAGTGGTACACTGTACACTTGTACACTGATACACTGTACACCATACAGTGGTACACTGTACACTTGTACACTGATACACTGTACACCATACAGTGGTACACTATACACTGTACACCATACAGTGGTACACTGTACACTTGTACACTGATACACTGTACACCATACAGTGGTACACTGTACACTTGTACACTGATACACTGTACACCATACAGTGGTACACTGTACACTTGTACACTGATACACTGTACACCATACAGTGGTACACTGTACACTTGTACACTGATACACTGTACACCATACAGTGGTACACTATACACCTGTACACTGATACACTGTACACCATACAGTGGTACACTGTACACTTGTACACTGTACATTGGTACACTGATACACTGTACACCATACAGTGGTACACTGTACACTTGTACACTGATACACTGTACACCATACAGTGGTACACTATACACCTGTACACTGATACACTGTACACCATACAGTGGTACACTGTACACTTGTACACTGTACATTGGTACACTGATACACTGTACACCATACAGTGATACACTGTACTCTATACAGTGGTACACTATACACTGTACACCATACAGTGGTACACTGTACACTGGTACACTGATACACTGTACACTGGTACAGTGATACACTATACAGTGGTACACTGGTACACTGGTACACTGTACACTATACAGTGGTACATTGTACACTGGTACACTATACATTGGTACACTGTACACTATACAGTGGTGCACTGTACACTGGTACACCATACACCAGTGGTACACTGTACACTGGTACACTATACAGTGGTACACTGTACACTGGTACACTATACAGTGGTACACTGTACACTAGTACACTGTATACTATAAGTGGTACACTTTACACTATACAGTGGTACACTATACACTGGTACACTGTACACTGGTACACTGTACACTGGTACACTATACAGTGGTACACTGTACACTATAAGTGGCACACTGATATACTGTACACTATACAGTGGTACACTGTACACTAGTACACTGTACACTATAGTGGCACTGTACACTGGTGCACTATACAGTGGTACACTGTACACTGGTACACTGTACACTATACAGTGGTACACTGGTAAGTGGTACACTATACATTGGTACACTGTACACTATACGGTGGTATACTGTACACTGATAGACTGTACACTATACAGTGGTATACTGTACAATGATCGACTGTACACTATATAGTGGTACACTATACAGTGGTACACTGCACACTGATACACTGTACATCATGCACTGGTACACTGTACACTGGTACACCATACATTGGTACACTGTACACTGGTACACTGTACACTGGTACACCATACAGTGGTACACAGTACATTGGTACTCTACACACTGATTTACTATACACTGGTATTCTATACACAGGTACAATATACACAGGTACACTATACACAGGTACACTGTACACTGGTACACTATACACTGGTACACTATAGTCACATGGGTGGTGTATTAATAAAGTATTACATGACTTGTGTTTTTGCAGCCAAGAAACAAAATATATGAATAACTGGAAATAAAGAACAAAACAGAACAATAAAGTGTTTAAAGGAGCATAAAAAATGAAAGATAATATACATACAACTAATGTTAATAAATAATTTTTATTAAATATTTTTATAAATTTTTTATATTATTTTTATTAACACATCAGCCGTTTCCCACCAAGGCAAGGTGGCCTGATGAAGAAAAACTTTCACTATCATTCACTCCATCACTGTCTTGCCAGAAGCATGCTTACACTACAGTTATAAAATTGCAACATTAATTAACACCCCTCCTTCAGAGTGGAGGCACTGTACTTCCCATCTTCAGAGCTCAAGTCCAGCCTGCTGGTTTTCCTGAATCCCTTCAGAAATATTACCCTGCCCACACTCCAACAGCACATCAAGTCCTTAAAACCATTTGTCTCCATTCACTCCCACCTAATACACTCACACATGCTTCCTGTAAGTCCAAGCCCCTCACACAAAAAACCTCCTTTACCCCCTCCCTCCAACCCGTCCTAGGCTGACCTCTACCCGGCCTTCCCTCCACTACAGATTTAAACATTCGAAGTACAGTGGTACCTCAGGATATGAAGAGCTCAAAACATGAACAATTATGTAAGTGTATTTATGTAGGTGCTTTTGTAAGTGTATTTTTGGGGGTCTGAAACGGATTAATCTAATTTACATTATTCCTTATGGGAACAAATTCTTTCGGTATCAGCACTTGAACAGCCTTCTGGAATGAAATAAGTTCATATCCCGAGGTACCACTGTATTACTATTTTGCTCCATCCCCTCTACATGTCCGAACCACCTCAACGACCCCTCTTCAGCCCTCTAGATAATAGTTTTGGTAATCTCACACTTTTTCCTAATTTCCAAACTAAAAATTCTCTGCATTATATTCACAACATGCACTACCCTCAGACACGACATCTCCACTGCCTCCAGCCTTCGCCTTGGTGCAACATTCATCACCCATGCTTCGTACCCATATCAGAGCGTTGGTATACCTACACTCTCATACATTCCCCTCTTTGCCTCCAAGGACAAAGTTCTTTGTCTCCACAGACTCCTCAGTGCACCACTCTCCTTTTTCCCCTCATCAATTCCATGATTCACCTCATCTTTCAGAGAACCATCCACTGACATGTCCACTCCTAAATATCTGAATACATTCACCTCCTCCATACTCTCTCCCTCCAATCTGATATCCAATTTTTTGATACCTAATTTTTTTGTTATTCCCATCATCTTACTCTTTCCTATATTCAATTTTAATTTTCTTCTTTTGCATACCCTACCAAACTGATTCAGCAAACTCTGCAACTTCTCTTCAGAATCTCCCAAAAGCACAGTGTCATCAGCAAAGAGCAACTGTGACAACTCCCATTTTATGTTAGATTCTTCATCTTTTAACCCCACACCTCTTGCCAACACCCGAGCATTCACTTCTCTTACAACCCCATCTATAAATTTTTATAAATATTTTTATTATTTATAAATGCATTTATGGAAAGAAATGATATCCATAATGGTTGTATAAGTGATATACGGTTAACACAAAAATAATACATGACTTTTGGAGCAAGCAGGGTACAAATGCAAGGTATTAAAAATAAACTAATACAGTGGTACCCCGAGTTTCATACAGCTCCCAACTCAAACAATTATGCAAGTGTGTTATTGTAAGTGTATTTTTAGGAGTCTGAAACAGACTAATCTAATTTACATTATTCCTTATGGGAACAAATTCGTTTGGTGACGGCACTCTAACAGCCTTCTGAAACAAATCATGGCCGAAACTCGGGGTACCACTGTATAAAAAAATAGTAATGCTTTGTAATGAAAAGAGAAAAAATGTAACTAAAAGGGTAATAATATATGAAAAAAGGCTTAGAAATAAAATAGTGGATGCAAAAGTTAAATTTTAAATTGCTGTCAAGGTATAGGCCAGGGCTTTCTCAATTGGCAGCCCACAGTCCGAATCCAGACCTTCTGAGTGTTTTAGCTGGACCATGGGCTTCAGGAGAAAGCTTAGTTAACCCTTTGACTGTTTCAGGCCCCTCTCTGAAACTCATTCTAGGTCGCCAAATATTCAAAAAAAAAAAAAAAATTATTTATTCTTATGAAAATGTTAAGATTATTTTTCTGAGTGTTTTAGTCCAAAAAAAAAAATTTTTGCCATCGGTACTCACCGAGATATAGAGCCGTGAAGTTTGCAGAAAATGAGCCGCGTATGGCAACAGCGGCGACTGCCACTCACCCGGTAAACTTTAGTTTACTTGTATTTGAAGGTTTGTTGTTTTTTTCACTATTTTATTTTTTCACATAACGTATGTGGCCTATGAGACCAAAGTAAGGTGCAATGTACATATATACACTCGTTGTATACAACACAATAAGCACACAAACATAATTATCAATATATTGTTTACAAAACTTGTTTACAAAAACAAACAAACAATCATCCTCCTCCTCCTCCTCCTTCTCCTCCTCCTCCTTCTCCTTCTCCTTCTCCTCCTTCTCCTTCTCCTCCTCCTTCTCCTCCTCCTCCTTCTCCTCCTCCTTCTCCTCCTCCTCCTTCTCCTCCTCCTTCTCCTCCTTCTCCTTCTCCTTCTTCTCCTCCTTCTCCTTCTCCTCCTTCTCCTTCTCCTCCTTCTCCTCCTCCTCCTCCTTCTCCTCCTCCTTCTCCTCCTCCTTGTCTTGTGTGTGAGTGTGTGGCTTATAATTGTTTTGAGTCAGAAGTCGGCAGCTGTCAAAGTGACATATTGTCTCATTACTCACTCCCCCTCCTGCCTGTCAAAACAATGGGGTCGGATGCTGCTTCCCCTCCTCCATTCTATCTAATTATCTTTCTCCCTCATTCTATATCTTTTAATCTGTCTCTCTTTCTATCTGTCTGCCTATCTCTGTCTCACAGGTACACATAAATACAAGTATACATAGTGTAAATTACCTAGGATAACCCAAGAAATCCAGACAAAGTGCTATACTCTGCTTGAAGATGTGAGTAAACGTGATGACACAGTCTTGTGGCTCTCTCTGAGACAGAGAGCTAGATGGACAGACAGGGAGCTTGACAGACAGACAAATAGACAGACAGAAATGTTTGTGTACCAGCAAAAACAAAGGGAGGGCGATGGTCATGCAATATTTCCTTATCAGCTCTACCCTCGTTTACGCTCATCAAAGTCAGCTCTTATCAGATGTTATCTCCCCTTA